TTTGGAATTGTGTGCATATATATATATATATATACACACACACACACACACACAGAACATTTTCAATTTTCGATACAGACTCAAGTATTGAGAACCTTTATTTTTGGGGATGTGCAGTAAATAGTAAGATTATTTTATAATGGGAAATGACTAAAGCAGAAGTAGTCCAGATATTTGTTGTTTAATGCATATCAACACACATATGCATGTTTGTATTTTTTAAAATTAATTATGGAAAGCTTCCAAAAGTTAGTGTCATCACAGACATTCTTAAAAATATGTGATGGTGACATATTACATATAGGATTTTCATACTGAAAATGTCCAAGTACATGGGTTTGAAGGGTTAACATGCAGTTAAAAGTGACTGCAATGTCCATGTTACCTACTACCATTTGACAATTATATCATTACCCTTGCATGCAGGAGGTGTTTAGTGTAAGTGTTTTCTAGAAGGTGTGACTTTTCAAAGAAATATATATATGGGTTACAATGCATATTACATGTAATTATGCATTTTGTTACAGTCCATATTGGATTCAATCCTATCAGGAGACATTCAGTGACTTCAAACATATGGGATTATGGGAATACTGTTTTGACCAGTTCCGATACCCATACTATCAGTTTGACAAGCTATTTGATGGTTGTCATTACATTTTCAGTCAGGAATATTATGTCATTCGGGAATGGCTTCTGCCAGGTTAGTGACAATTCTTTTTTCTCCGTCTGTAAGCAAACCTGCGTACTGAACTGTGATGAAGCATGATTTGGGGGATATATTGACTGGCTACTTTATGGTTACTTCTAGCCACATATGGTTACTGCAAAAGGATGTGCAGGAGAAAACTCCTTGGCCTGTAGTCCGCAAGTGAACTATTCCGACTGAGCGAACGCCGCTTTTCGGCGAAGTTAGTGCCAACTTAGTGGATAGAAGGTGTCACGTGGTCAGCACAACAAATCCCTACTGCCATTAATCTCGGGTTTCTAGACCGGAGCCGCCGTTTCCTTGAAATAGCTCCTCAGTTATCACGAGGCTGAGTAGACCCTGTTCCAGACCCACTACTTCTCAGAAAATCTGTTAGTGCTGGGAATCGAACCTGGGACCTCTGGATCTGTAGCCAGGAACTCTGACAACTAGACAACAGAGGCGGTCCTAAGGATGTTCATCATTAGTGCATTTATTCAGTAAGCACAGTCTGTGTAGGGACTGGCTATGGGCTGGGTGGATGAGGGGTCAGATTTTGAGTCTCAGTAGGGGCAGTATTTTTCTCTTCTGCATGTCATCCAGACAAGTTCTTGGGCACATCTGGCCTCATATCCAACAGGTACTAGGGGTTCTTTCCCCTGGGTAAAGTGGCCGGGGTGTGAAATTGACCACTCACCTCCAACTAGTACCAAGGTCAAGAATACATGGACCTATACATCCTCTACCTCATAATTTTCATGGCATAGTGCTTAATTAGTTAGTTTATCCACTCTGTAAAAAGAACAGATTGTGATGACCAGAATATCACAGTGTACACTCTCACAACACTGAAATTCTCACATGTCATAATACTGAAAGTTTAAAGAATGCAGCGTCTCATTTTTAGGTTCTTTATATGTAACTTTATTCGGATGACTGTTTTAGATATTCATAAAACAATGCAGTAACTGATGGAGCCTTTGAAAAGTGTAGGAGTTACATACAGTCTGGACTTATAAGACTTGTTCCATCTGAATGGATTGCTTTGAGTACCAACATTTTTATATGTGAATGGTATTTTCATAATTTCTAATTAGTTGAAGGTAAGAATGTTGATCTGTTTTACAGCTGTTCCGTTTAAAAGGGCAAGTAAAGAGTATGCTTTTTTTATGGCAGTTTTTGAAAACAGTCTGTTTGTGATAAGCAGGGCCCAGATTTTGATGACCTGAAAATATTTAAAAAATGACCTATAAAATGACTGAAAAATCCAGAAAAATGGCCTAAAGGAGAAAAGAAAGAACTCTTCGCTTCCGTGTTATTCACTTTTCAGAAAACATATGAAGAAAAATTCCCTAAAATGGCCAAAAATGACAAGAAATACCTGTAAAGTCCAAAAAAATTACCCTCAAAATGGAAAAATGACCTTAAACCTAAAAATGTCCAAAAATGACAAAAAATTACCTATAAAATTTACGTTTCTGTAACCAGCAGCTCATATCCGAGATTTATATATTTAAGAGCATCACATAGGATACAAGGAAAAAAAGATGACATGTCATCGAAATGTGGGCCCTGGTCATAAGTCATGTGCTATACCAATTTATTATTAATCATATCATTTTGCATAGTATGTATGTCGTACTTTCTCATATATGTACTGTAAGTACTGTGATTTTTATACTTTATGAGTTATTCCAGCACCACTAATTTTGCAAATAAAACTTTATTTCAGGAGACCAGCATAAAAATGGTATATGTTGGAGGGGGGGGGGGTTATAGCGGCCAGAGCGTGAAGATGACCAATCACCGATATCAAGAATACATAGATCTATACAGCCACTCCCTATACGCCTTTATGGCATAGTGCTTAATTAGTTAAGCACAGGGACAGCTTTACTTTTTTACTTTTGGGGGGGCAGATAAAGGCCTGTGATTTGTGAAGCATATGTGAGAAAGTGTGATCAGTATCATTCCACCCATTTTCTCACTTTTTGTATTTCAATTGATTTTCAGGTTGGCTGATGGTAGTGCAGGCTTTTGTCACTTTGGCACTTATGCTGTCATTTTCATCACAAATCATCATTGCTTTAGAACTGATACGTTGGCCTCTTGAATTTGTTCTACTTTATGAATGGCTTTTGTCTGGCATTGCTTTCATATGCAATGCCCTTGCAGGTAATTTTTTTTAGAAAATATTGCATTTGAATATAGAAAGGGAGGATTAGTTGTATAAATTAGTTGAGAGTGTTACTTAATATAAGAATATTTTACCCTTCTTTCCTTTGTAAAGACTAATGGATGAATATGCCACACTAGTATATAATCATGTAATTACATGTGGCAAAATTTTATGTAGAAGTGGAGACCTTATACATATTAATTTCCTCCACTTTTAATAGCAACAATGCAGACACAAAAACATATCAGATGGGAGCAATAATAATGCCACTTAGTAGAAAGTTCTGAAATGATATATAAATATGGTAATAAATCTTTCAAAGAATATGAAACTTTTGTTGAGGGTTTTTTGGGCTGGGGATGTAAAATGACAAAATGACAAATATAAAATGTAAAATGACAAAAGTGCTGGCTGAATGAAATACACAGTTAGCTGCTGATATGATCAGAGTAACTAGTAAACTGTATGGAGCTAGTCATGTGAAATTTGCTACAGAGATAGATCATAAACATACCTGAAAAATATGTATGTCCACAAAGCAAACAACAATAAATACAGAAATGGTCGAAAACTTCAAGGTTATATCAGACAGTTTGAATGTAGATCAAATCTGTACTTAAATATATAAAAAAGAAACAAAAAATCGTGGCTTTAGTCTGCAAGTGAACTATACCAACCGAGCAATCGCTGCTTGTTGGCGAAGATAGTGCCAATTTTTACGGATAGAGGGTGTTGCTTGGTCAGCTCAGCAAAGCTCCGCAGTCATTAATCTCGGTTTTCTAGACCGGAGCCGCAAATTTTCCATTCAAGTAGCTCCTCAATTATCCGCACAAGGCTGAGCGGACCCTGTTCCAGACACACTGCTTCTCAGAAAATGTGGTAGCACCGGGAATCGAACCCGGACCTCTGGATTTGTGGCCAGGAACTCTGTTCTTTTCAAAAAGAAAATGGCGACAAAATGTAAGATACTGACAGTTGCAGTTCAAGCAGTAAGGAGATGACTGAAGTTGGATTTGATAGCATGACCAACCGCACATAAGCCCAGCACCCTAAGCCATGAGCTTAAACTGCATGGTGCAGCTGGATTATAAATATTTGTACCTAAATGTACAATTTAACACAGTATGAAAGAGTAGACGTCCATGCAGTAGGAAAGTCTGCTTTGTGAAATCTGCCCAGACCTCCTTGTTAGTTTATTTTTAATTTCAGGCACTAATGTGAGCAAAAACTGTTATCTCAGTACTGATCGTTTTGTTCTGATGTTCAAATTTTACAGGTTGCTATATTGAACCTTGTTCCAATATTAGAACTCAGAATGAAACATGTGAGATCTGTTGCGATAAAAGTGGCCAGTACACTGAGATACTGCTAATCTTGTCTATTTTGCAGCATTTTTACTCTTCCTGGCAGTATCAATCTTTGGTGGTGAATGTTGGCGTCGTGATTGGTTGATGTATCCAAATTTCAACTACTTGTCGTGGTCTTATGGATTAGCAGTCATTTCCATGTTCTTACATGGGTTTGCAGCTTTCTTTGTGTACTTGGTAAGTTCCCATGCACTGTTTATCACCGTTCTGCATGTAAAAAGTAAAAAAGTAAAGCTATCCCTGTAACAGGCTGTGTAGGCCCATAGGGTCGTGAGACGTCAAGGGTCCCACATTATCTAGACAATCGGCTCAAAGATGGTGGTAAGGTTGTCAGCCTTACGCACCGGCTGTGCTTTACTCCCCAGGAAAATTATTTAATTAATTCCTGGTACTCATTTCTGTTAGAGGCTGAGTCGACCCCAGGGCCATAGTGCGGCTGGAAGGATTAGGTCAATTGAAAAAATCCAGTGACCTCATTGGGACTTGAAGCCGCGACCCTCCGGCTTGTAGCGTAGCCCCTCAACCAACTACACTACCACGTGCCCCCAGTTCTGCATGTACAGAAGCTAAACCTCTAGTAGCAGAACCAGAATATTGCTTATGCAAGGCTCGTCGCATTGCAGCATACTCCTGAGCATAATCTGTGTAATTTCACATTCTTGCAATTCAGTTTAATGAGACCATATTGTCCTCCCATTTCTTGCTCAGTTTTGCAAGTGAGCTCTGCAAAATTATGTATCTGTTTCTTGTCTCTCCTGTATGAACTGCATATTCACACCATTGTATCCATCTTGGTTCGACGACCCTTTCAGTACTTGGTGACCCTTATAAATTACAGAATCATTTGTATGCCATTTTTCTTGGTTCAAAAAAATTTCTTGGCAAATTATTTTTGAACACTTTGCAATTTATGTTCTTCACAGTAAGATACCACATTTCAGAGTAATACAAAAGTCCAGTAAAATGGTTATTTCATAGTTTCATGTATGGTCTTGGAATAGACAAGATCACCAATTATCTACACTGATACTGGGTTTTTACATTTGTTTCTTGCATATATTCATAAACATTAAGATCATTCAATGGCTATTGTTGCAGGACACTCGCAAGATGTGGGAGTTGAGAAAGGAGAGTCGCAATCTCGTGGTGCAGATGCATCCTAATCCTGGGCGCAATGGTTTTGTCTAAGACTATAATGTAAAAGAAAAAATAGAAGACTGTTCCATAGAGTGGAATCATGTTTACTCCCTTATCATTTTATCTCTACATGGTAGAAGCAGAAGAACACGAGGATCCTTGTCTCGTCTGGTTTATTCTAATGCTGCAATCATTGAAGAAGCGTGTATTTTCTGCTGTATATTCTGCATGTTACAAGTCTGTCAAAGGGATGAATTACATCTGTTATGTCTGTTGTGTGATATAGCATTCCTGAATTCTATACAGTATCTGTCTTCTCTTTGTGAAATGGAAAAATGCAGTCTAAGAGCTGAATTATTATTGAAACCAATTTATTTTTCAATCTCAAGTGATTTGATCTGCATATTTTTGTATTACTTTGTTATCACTTTTTCTGTAAATGTCCGTCATTTGCCATATTGTACAGTTGTGTATCTAGACATTGTTAAGTGATGAGTCATAACATTTTATGGAATTGTTAATGTTAGAAACAAAGAATCGTGACCATCAGCAGTTTGCTGGTTCTGTAACTGTTATAGAAACATCCAGAATTTGCTCCCTTGAAGAAACTGTATCTGTGTGGTTCCTGTAAATTACTTTAATATTGTCCCCAAGAATATATTGAAACTTATATCATATCAGCTCCATTCATATTAAATAATTCACTTGCTATAATATTTTATGCTCAATAATACAAATAATCACAAGATAATGCCTTAACAGTTGAGAACTGGAATGTCGGTTAAATCACCAGAAGGAGTAATATTCTTGAAATAAACACATTTAAAGTTAACTATACATATTAATCTTGAAATGTAATGGAAACATTTGCTAAAAGTGCTGTACATTTCAAAATTAAAGTTTTGTAACATAAAAATGACTGTAAAACCTCAAACGTGAGATTAAAAACACTGCACTAACATTTAAATAAGATTATTAAGTGTGAGTTTTATAATTTACAACAGGTGTATTTTTCTATGATATTAGACAATCAAATACTAGGGCACCATATACTCACAGGTGGAAACAAGTCAGTATTGTGTGAAATTTCAACGCACTTCTTAGTAAGGTGTTAGATATTGTTTTTTGAAAAGGAATGTCACAAGAGACATTGTTGTACCTATTTCCACGTGTTTCAGAGACAGCTCAAGCATTTGTAGAATTCTTAATGGTTCATACAAGGGAAGTTTTTTTCATTAATTTTTTTAAATGAAGTTATAGACCAAACTGATATGTATTTATAATAATGATGACAACAATTAAATTAGTTGCTTTCAGTTTGGTGTTAAAAAGTACTTAAAACATTTTTGTACAGGTATACACACACATATTTGAATCTCATTTTTGTTTCACTGCATTTGTGGTGCTAATTAGGATACAGCGGTGTCAAAAATGTTATATATGAGATTGGCTGAGTCATTTGATGACCGTCTTTAATGGTATTATATGAATTTAATGCATAATGTTTTGAATTTTATTTTACTTAGAATCATTTGTAAATATTTAATTATGTGAACTTTGAAAATTCACATAAGTAATTTGTTACTACAAAACTTTTACCTATCTATAGTTATCATTTGTTACATTTTATTTACCCAAGAACCTCTTTCACTAACTGTATGAACGTATATAATGTGTTATTATCTAAGTTTAACATGTAAAAGGAATTTTATGTCAATTTGAATAATAAGAAATTCCTGATATTATTGTGTAATAGTGTTTCCTGACTATAGTGTGTTTGGGATGTTAGTTCTTGTGAACAGCGTAATAATGTGCATTTGACATTGTTCTGGCAGCGGTCAATTATCAGCATGGAATGGTTACTCTGGAGGAAATTTACTATTGTAGTCAGGAGGCAGAATGTATCCACCTGCTGAAATGTTGATCCGCCCATCAGTATATCCAAATTGTTTCCGTCCAGAATGTAAGAAATAACAATTTCCCTCAATTTCAGTATTTCTATCAGTATTGAAGCCAGTTCAAAGTTGGTACGCATGACAACAGTTGGATGCTTGTTTCCTGATATATGCCCTATTCTCTCTGGTTTACCAAATATTTGGAATCTCAGTACATGCCATAATGTAATGGTTTCTCATAGACAGCATTTGTAGAGCTGGTTTTTTAAAAGTGTTATGGAATAAATGTAAATACATATGGAGGCACAAGTGAGTAGAAATCCTATACAACATATATATGTGTCTTGCATTTTAGTTGAAATCGGGAAAAAAATATAGTAAATAAGGTGACCATAATGCTCACAATTGCAGCCTCTATGCAATTAAATTTCAAGAGATTCCTTAAAAACTTAAAGCGGCACACTGAATTTATGTCACAACTTCCACTTATGTACATGTGCATTTTGTACTGGGGAGTGTGAAAATGTTGAGGATTACTGACCTGACCCTAAAGCAGTATGTAGACAACAGAAGGAATTAGGATAGCTGAATTGGTATAGTGACAGGCTACAGGCTGGACAGCTGGGTTTCAATTTCCAACAGGGAAAGAGATTTTTCTCTATTCCACATCATCCAGACTGGCTCTGGGACCTACCCAGTCCCCTATGTGATAGGTGCCAGCAGCTCATCTCCGTTTAGTACCAAGGTCAAGAATGGCATATACCCGAGTTCCTCCATATGTTTTCATGGTGTGCATAATTAATTAAGCACAGGGACATCTTTACATTTACCTTTTTGTGTAGGCAATAGAAATATTTATCATGTCTACATTTTAATTACTGCGCTTACCGACTAGGGTAAATAAGCACAAGACTCAACAGAGATGTTACTAATCCCTTCAGTGTGACTAGTTGCAATGCAATTTTTCAAGCCTTTATCTGAACCTCTTAGCAAGAATAAAATTGTGAGAGAAAATTAATTTGCAACAAAGAACTATTTTCTTCACTTTGTTTAAGATTCACAGTATCTTTGTTCCCTAACTCATGGCAGATTAATCAGTGTGACAGCAGTCTTAATGAGTGGCATAAAGAAATAATCATTATTTGTATGGCATATAAACAAAGATACATTTACTACCATTAATACAAACTTGTATTGGCAGTCAACATTTTTATATGAAAAGGGCTGTAATGTTTGGTTTCCCTCTTTCAACATATGATTAGATCAGCTGTTGAGAGGTGAATTCTGAAACCCTTCATGTATAATGTTAAAGTAAACTGTCTCAATTCAGTGGGATTTGTATTATTATTTATTCATTGTAATTAATACTTGTTATCCTATCTACTAGTATTGTAAACGAACGTGGAAAACTACTCCTGTTTGGAGTACATACATTTTTAAATGCATTCCTAGCAATTTTACATACTTGACTGGATTTGAAGTTTTATTTGTTAATGCAAAAGAAAAGAAATGCATAAAATGTGTACATACAGGACCAATTAAAAGACCATGATGTAAATGACTGATGTTGAAGCTTTATAGATTGTGATAATGCTGATTGAGATGATATGGTTAAGAACATGATTTAATGGCACATGTATGTTTTTACTGTAATATTATAGCATGAAGATGAACGTTTGACTTTAGTGCTGAGGCTCATGAAGTTAACTTCCATAAATGTGAGTTCACTCAAGGGAGATTAAGCACCAACAAGGACTGCTGGTAGTTTTATATGAGTGTGGTTCATTGGTGGTATGATTGCTAGGAGAAAACTGATGTACCTTAAGAATATTCCCCCACTTATATCTTGTCTACAGATCTTACAAATTTTGTACTAGAATGGAAAAGAGTGGAGTGAGAAGCCCATATTCAAGTTTTGGTATGTTGGGTGAATCAAGTGCAATTATTGTATTTCATGTCACATAAGCCACAGCTCAAGCGGTTAGTCGCTGGCTTCCCACAGCGGCAGCCTGGGTTCGAGCCAGGGTCTGGTCAAGTGGGATTTGTGGTGGACAAAGTGGCGCTGGGGCAGGTACTTCTGTTTCCCCTGCCAGTCTTCATTCCACCAAATTCTCCACCATCAGTATCACCTGGGGCAGTCTACAATAGGCCAATCAGTGGCTGCCGTGCCAAGTGGACCCAGTTGGACTCCACCCCCCACTAAGCAGATTTTTTACATAAGACATGATGGTTTAGGAACATGAAATTAAATTTTTCGTTTTGCTTAGCAAACAGAACTAATTGTTCGTTGATTAACCTTTATGAGCCGAAGGACACCATATGGGGACCTTTAAAGTAAAGCCGAGTGGCTGAAAGACACCGTATGGGTATGCGCAGTCCACACGTGCGTACAGTGTTTTAAAATCTAATTTTAAGATAGAAATTCTTGTTCTACTTACATTATTTTTGGGCACGCGCTTTATAAGTAGACTGTCTTCCCTCCTGTGTCATCTAACTGAATGTTGCATATCACTGAATGCAGAGTCCGACGTCGCAATTCATGCACTTTGTCCGTAATTAACTCTGTTTTCCACGCGAAGGGCGCGCACGCAATGTTAGTCTCGTATTATGAGGAAGTAAGCCAGTCATGGCGAGCGGTGTCCTCTATTCATAACGCTTATAGAACATCGCAATTTCAACTATGCACCATGGCCCCTTTTCGCATTGAAGAAGTCGAAATTGAGAGGCCGCTCATAAATCACACCATTCAGAATGCGTTACAGTTTATTCTGAAGGGAGTGGAAGCAAGTGGTGTGAGGTGATATTCCATGAACTGCCTCTATGTGGATAGTTGGACATACATGAATAAACAACAGAGTTTCATAAGGCAGTGTAGGATAAGAACTCGCCCACACTCGGATATACAGGAAGCCTACATGACTGCAGAATATGCAGTACGTAAACATCCTCTCCTATTGCCAGATAAAAAACAGACAGTGCATCAGCAACATGCATTTATACTGCAGAAACGTACTGTGCAGAAGCTTTATGCATTTTTGTGGACAGACGCTCAAAATTGGGGGGAATTTTTTGGAATCAATGTAACAATTTTTACAGATTCTAAAATTTGTCAATTACAGTATCTGATTCTGTATACTTTCTAGATAAAAGTAGCGTTTATTTCGTTCGTTTATCACAAAAATTGTAGAAATCACAGCATTTTGAATAACATAATTACAATTTTTATTAACTCCGTCCCGCTGCCACTACATGAATTTAAATGGCCTGTCCCATAAAGGTTAAAACAAAATTATGTATTTGTTTATAAATGACTTGTTAAGGATGTTTCTAATATTTACATAATACTACATTTTCATTGTTAGTTCCCACATTTAAGGCACACCAGTGTATGGGATGCCCTGCGATTTTTTGGGCAATTTCATGGTGGAAAATGGGAAATGTGGTTAAATTTAGCTGAAGACTAGTAGACTTTGTGAGTTCTGCATTTGTAATGAAACTGTATACTCAGAAAGGCCTGAAAAACAAAAAAATATTGCGTGACATCTGTTACACCAGAGGGATTAATTTTCTCTAGTTCCAAGTGTAACTCAAAATTTGGCATTTCAATGCTCAGTAAGAAATGGTTCGTTAAAAATGACAGTTTTAGTCTGTAAGACCTGTGTGGGAGCTTGAGAGGACATTAAATATATAGAAATACAGGTACAGGACCTTGTATCAGGAAAAATTGGAACTTGAACAAAGTTGGATTTCTGGATTTCATGGCTGTGGTTCCAGGCCATATATGATAGCTGTATCTGCCCTAAACTTTGCATTTTATCATTTTATAGAAGCATCTTTCTCTAATTGCCAATCACAGTGGCTGCGCAGTGTAAGACATGAACCTTCTTCGCCTGTTTGAACACTGGGGTCATGGGTTTGAATCCCACTTGAGGCATGGATGTCTATGTGCATTTATTCTGTGTTTGTGTTGTTCTGTATGGAGGTAGCAGCCTAGTGATGGGCTGATCCCCTGTCCAAGGAGTACTGCCAGCTGTATGTAGGATTAAGAAACTGAAAAAGTTGCCAAGGTTCATAGGTCTGTACAGCCAGAGAGAAAGGTTTCCCTGATTCCATGTGTAACTTCACCCTTCTTTGTAATACTTGGTGCAAAATGTTTTCTTTTAGCCCTGATACTAGCCAGAGGACTTCTTGTTTGCCATTCACAAATGTCTTTGATGGAAATGGGGATAAATTACCACAGTAATCAGGTATACATGTACTATGTGCCATTTTAACAAACTGGCCAGTGATGAATCTACACAGTCATTGACGCCAACATGCCACTTCAAAAAATAGCCAGATAAGAGGTCTTACACCTCTACAGTATGTCAGTAAGAGTTGCTTCAATTTGTGCAATATTATGATACATATCTCTTGATCTGTTCCGTACAGACTTTTAGACACTGTTCACCCAGTCAATTAGATTCCTTGCTGGGGTAGGAGATAACTGACTTCCAGTCTCGGTATTGGTTATAGAATCAACTTGCTTTGTTATGTCATGTTAAGTACAGTACTAGCATGCAATTTGTAGAATGAAAGTGCTTGCTCTGTATATTATTATTAAAGGAGTTGCTGATATTTTCAGTTTGTATTCTTAAGAAAATGTAATAAACAAGTCTCACACTTACAGTGACTAAAATTTGTAATGTGCTGTATTATTTCATGCAGTCCTTACAGTTTGGATTAGTTTTAGCAGTAGGATATCAGGCTCTTGTTTCAGAGTGTACAGGTTTGAACTTTGGTATTTGCACTGATTATCTTGAGTTACGTTTTTCAAGTTTTAAGTCCTCTTAAATGCTGGGAGGGTACCTTAAAATGAGCTGACCATTTTCTTGCAAATGAATTTGCTTACAATTAAACCTGACACTCACTTGAAACTGAAACCCCTCTACAATAATATGGTGACAGATATCTGATCTAGCATAGTACAGTACTCAAAAAACTTCAATTTTAAGGACACCAAATGATTAAAAAAAATATTGCAAATATGGTTGGTTTTGCCTCTCTTTTTTTATTATTACTTTTTTTGAGGGGGAGTCATACTACATTCTCCCTGTTAACTCTTCCTATTCTGAATTTACCCCAGTCCAGAAGCTTGTTTTTTTATTTAAATCAAAATTTAAGATAGCTAATTCGTTTCATTCATATCAGTCCAATACAGCCATCTAGGTTCACTTAGAGAAACTAAATCGAGAGCAATGTAAATGAATAGCAGATTTCAATATACATTATATTTCACCTGAAGAATTAGGAAGACCTGTGGAATAGGGTGAAAATGATAATTTTAAATGTGGAACATAATGTAGGGAGAGAAAATGTTAGTCTTGCATCGTCTATCTGACAAGCCTTGGGTCATACATCTCTTTAACTACACATTCTCGTGCTGCTGTGCTGGAATGTGCAGGAAAGGTTTTTAGATGTGCCATTGAGTTTCAGTGTGTACACCCTAGTAAACAGTAATTCTGTTCCTCATTAAAGGCTTCTCATATATTTCTTAATGTGGTTATAAAGGCACACTGACAACCCACGTCGATGTGGCTTTAAAGAAACTGATATTAAAATTTATTTTAGGGAATTTGTTTTGTGGTCTAGTGGTCAGAGTTCCTGGCTACAGATCCAGAGGTCTGGGTTCGATTCCCGGCGCTACCAGATTTCCTGAAAAGTAGTGGGTCTGGAACAGGGTCCACTCAGCATAATGAGGATAATTGAGGAACTACTTGAATAGAAAAGTAGCGACACCAGTCTAGAAAACCGAGATTAACGGCCATGGGGATCTGTTGCGCTGACCACATGACAACTTCTATCCACAAAAGTTAGCACTAAGTTCTATGACAAGCGGCGGTTGCTTGGTCCCTACAGTTCGCTTGCAGACTGCAGGTCACTGAGTTAGTTAGTTAGTTAGTTAGTTAGTTATAGATTTGGGGGATGTGACATGGATATTTCAGGTTCATGATTGCTTTTGTGATGGTTATGATTGTTATGAATATTCGGGCAGCAGAGGACTTTATTTCATAGGATATCCACTGCTTAACTACTCAGGGAGCAGTTTGGTCCAATCAGTCATAAAGTTTTCTATTTCTTGAGTCACACACTACAATAAAATTAGCAGCTTTTTTGTGCACCTTGTGGCCTGAGTTACATAATCAGAAGAATGATAGAGTATGATATTAAACCTTGTAAATATGTACTTGACAATTAAATGTTAATTTACAAGGAATTATTTATATTTGGGGTGTTGAGAATATGTGCACATAAGGATTAAGTAGGAGCACAGATAACATTACAAATTGAGGAGTTCCATAATTTGCTCTTCATCAAATATTAGACTGATAAATTCAAAAAGCAATATGCCTGACTGAGATAAGAAATGCATATAGAATTTTAATTGACAACTAACTGATTAAGGCAGTGGTTCTCAAACTGTGGGGCACAAAGGGCTTGAAAGGGGGGCGGAGCATACTTTCCTACAGATAAAAATTAAAATGCCCTAAATCAATTAGAAAAGTAACAACAAATAAAAATACATATAGAAAAACTTTTGATGAGTACAGGCTTTAATTATCATGAATTTCAAAATAACTAATAATTATTCTCTTTACCGGCAATTATAAAACGCGTATGCCAGAGACAGCGTTGATAGTTCGGCAGCAGCCGCATCCTCTGAAATCCTCTGAAGTCTAGACTTTTTAAAATGATGTGTGAGGAAATGGGTGCCGAACACACTGCTCTGTTGTTTTTTAGTGATGCTCGATGGCTTTCAAGAGGTAAGGTATTAAAGAGAATGTTTAAGCTGAGGCATGAGGTGTTCT